GCCGGCCCCTTGGCGCGAGCGGCGCGCTCAGCCTCCAGGGCACGCTGCCGCACAGCCAGAGAGAGCAGCGCGAGAGCAACCCCAGGCAGTGGCTGCGGCAGGACCAGTTGGTCGCCTCCCCGCACGCGCATCCCCAGAAGGGCTTGCGCGGGCCGATGGGCGCAGCCTCCGCCTCGGCCGCGTGCCAGGGCGGGTTGGCCCCAGGGGGCCGCTGGCCGCCGCCGCCGCCGCCAACGCGTCCTTTATTGCTCCAGCCTGGCGGTTGCCCGCGTTGGCGGCAGTCCGGCATGACAGACGTGCGTAACTCGTGGTTGAATCAGGCCGCGGGCCCAGAACCTGGTCAGGTCGCGAACCTCTGGCCACAATTTCAAGTAACCAGCGGCGACCCGGTGGGGCCAGCTGCTCGACCAGAACCCCCCCTCGCCCCACTGGTTCTTGAGCCAAAATGGCTACGGACGGAAGAGAGGGACGAGGGATGAGGATGAGGAGGAGGAGGAGGAGGAGGAGGATCGATCGATCGATCGAGCTCTGGGGCCGAGCTCGGGGGCAACGCCTACTCTAGAAGCGTTCTACTCTAACTCAGCCTAGCTGTGTTCGCTTTGTGGGAGGTCGCTCGCGCTACGTGGCGCTCTGGCCCTGCCTGCACCCGCTCTCCCCACGCAGGGGCTCGCGGGCAGGGTGGCACCCGCTCCTCGCAGATGCCTGCTAGCCAGCTGCCTCCCACTCTGTGTCAGTATCCTCTTCGTCGCTCTCAATGTTGCCCTGCAGGGTGCCGTGCACCGCGACGATCCCCTCGATTCCACCCGCACCCTCCCGCTCGAAGGAGGAGGAGAAGGAGAAGGAGGAGGAGGAGGAGGAGGAGGAGGAGGAGGAGACGACGTAACCATGAAGGTCCGTCCGAACGCCGACCTCGACCTCGGGCCAACGAAGGAGCATCGGCTGAGGGAGAGTGGGCTCCTGCCGAGTAGCGCTGGGGCTACGTGTCGGCCTCCCGAGGGGGCAGCGACACCCTTTCTGCCCCTTTCGCCACCGGCACAGCCCACAACCGCCTCCGCCTCCGCCTCCACCTCCTCCTCCTCCTCCTCCTCCTCCTCCTCCTCCTCCTCCTCCTCCGCCTCCTCCTCCTCCTCCTCCTCCCACAAATGTGGCGCTCGACGCAGGCCCGAAGACCTGGAGACCAGGCGGAGCAGCGGGAGGCCTCACCGCCACTGGCACCTTTCCAATGTGCCAGCGGAGCGAGGTGGGCGGCGGGCCAGCACCAGAAGCTGAGCGGAGCGAGCGAAAAACCTCTTCCTCCTCCTCCTCCTCCTCCTCTCCTCCTCCTCCTCCTCCTCCTCCTCCTCCTCCTCCTCCTCCTCCTCCTCCTCCTCCTCCTCCTCCTCCTGGGCGGAGCGAGAGGAAAACCTCTCCCGTTTCACGAGCACGCTCCAGGGACATCGGTGTGCATGCTGTGCGAAAGCCTTCGCCTCTATGGAACTTGTGAGAAGCAGAGAGCGGCTGCTCGCAGACGCTCCGCGCGCGA